TGCGGGTCTGCCAGCCAATCACACAAGTTGCTGGAACGCACTTCGCATCTAAACCAGCTACGGGTGAACCTCACTTGTTCGGAAGACCCAGAAACAAATGGGAATCACCTTTGGGGTTGGCATGACTAGAACCGGCCGCCGAAATTGGAAATCAACGGGCCAAAGATGGGCCGAATAGCAAGAAGATGCGGCAGGGCAAGCGCGGGGTCACACAACTCCTCGCCTTCACAAGCCCATCGTTGATGCCTGGGATCGCGTATGGAAGGACCACCCGAGTCTGGGGAACGCCATAGAGAACACCGTAAGGGGCAACGGCTTAGTTCTTGTTTAAGCAACTCTATGACCCGTGGATTTTGCTCCATCGTCGGGCACCAGCTGCGTGTGTGGGGCAAAGTACCCAGGGATTCCCTGGAAGGAAATCACAAGGGATGGTTTGGAAGGGCCATTCCCTCATTCCCTGAGCACCAGCAAGTATTTTGGCCTTCCCGCAGCTCTGTGTGGCTCAGCTGCAGATGGGAAACCCAAGCATCGGAGCCGGAAATCCAGCCATTTGGATGGAAGAAATCCATTTCGCGGCACCTGAGAAACCGTGAAAGCCATTGCCTTTCTTACAGTACTTACAGGAGAATCGAAAATCATTCCAAGGGGTTTCTTAGGTAGGTGGTGCGAGCCGATTTCGCAACCATCCACAGCATGGAATGTCGCAGGCCGGCTCGCATTGCCTCATGGCAACCTCGCTAAGTAAACTGAGCTCACTCATGAGGTTCCAAGCGCGCCCAAGCATCCCTCACGTCATATTCTTGAATTCTCATACACGTTGCAAAGCATACTTGGTTGTCAACATCATGGACTTGTCAACATTATCTCACTTGCCCAAAGGACCTGGAAATAAAGGTTAACCTTTTGGGACCTTGACTAAAAATGGACCAAAAAAGGAAAACCAAAAGGTCAAAAGGTCGGCTTTGGGAAAGTGAGCTATGGCACTCCTTGTAAGGACCTTGAGCAAAGGCCAGCCGGCATGAAACCGAAACGAGCCCCACAAAGGAATCAACCGCTCCCCAAGTTTGCCCCGTTTGTGGAGCCCAAGCATTTTGGGGGTCCCGTAAAAAGAAGACATACCCATTCTGTGAGGGAAAGCAATAAAGGTGAACTCTGGTGGTGCAGCGGTAGACAGCCGTCAGTTACGCACAAGCGCGCCCACTCCCCCAGAAGATTGCTCTAGACTATGGGTTCAAGAAAGGATCGCAGGTGAATCCCGAGAACGCAGGCTGTTGTTGGGCAAAAAGTATCAGGAGAAACGAAACAACCAACACGCACAGCACACACACAAACGCAGACACAGACACAGACTCAGACACAGACACACGGACACACAGAGGACACACAGAGGACACAAAGACACACAGAGACGTAAAGCCACAGAGACACGCAGACCCACAGACTCACAGACCCACAGACACACCGACACACACGCAGACACACAGACAGACACACAGACACACGGACAGTCACAGAGACACAGAGACACAGAGACACAGAGACACAGAGACACAGAGACACAGAGACACAGAGACACAGAGACACAGACACACACACACACACTCACACACGCACCACCTACACACAAAAAAACAGACACACAGAACACACATATACACACACACTTACTTGCCCAGTCCCTCCTTTCTTGTCTCTCTGAACTGAGCCTATTGAGTAATCAAAGGAAACCACTTGACATTCTGCAAAACCATAACCAGTCCTTCTGCCTTCCGCATCTCTCCATACCGACAAATCTTACCGTAACACGTGCGACGCGTAGCGCGTCTCTCGGGAGTGGGCATTCTATCAGCAACGTCTTCCCATCTTTGTGGTCCACGTCGATGCCCAGCCTCAGCCCGCCCAGAGCCGCGCGATCTTGGGAGCGAGCGGGACGGGCTCAAACTCAAAGGGCTGCACGGATTTGGCGCCGGACTTGGTTTTTTTTTTCCCCCCCCCTATTTTTTCCAAGCGTCTCGAAGATGTCTTCAAGTCGGCCCCGGTGCAAACAGAGGGTCGCCCATCAACGGGACCGGATACTTCCATTTGCTTAAGGTTCATGAAAAAAAAACAAGTAGTGATAAATTCCTTTGAACACCAACAAGGGGGAACAAAAAAACACTTTTCAGAAAATGGAAGGATAGAATCGCTGCTCTCGTTCGCGGATCGAGGTCTCGTTCGCCCGCCTCTTGCCGCCTGACTTGTCCAGAACGACTTCATATTCCGTGCCAGGCCCTGGCTCTCGATTCATCAAACAGGTTGTCCGGATGGTTGTTGATTGTTTTTAGTATATAACAATAACAATAAAAATAATCATAGTAATAATAAATCATAAATAATAAACACAATAATCACAACAACAACAACAACAACAACAACAACAACAACAACAACAACAACAACAACAACAACAACAACAACAACAACAACAACAACAACAACAACAACAACAACAACAACAACAACAACAACAACAACAACAACAACAACAACAACAACAACAACAACAACAACAACAACAACAACAACAACAACAACAACAACAACAACAACAACAACAACAACAACAACAACAACAACAACAACAACAACAACAACAACAACAACAACAACAACAACAACAACAACAACAACAATAAATAATGAATCATATTAATAATAACAATAACAATAATGACTTCCATAACGGATTTAACATGTTCTTGTGCTTGTTGGTTTGTGTGATTCTTTGTATTTTTTCGTCTGGCTTCCTAGTTCAACATCCCACCCCAAGCTTGCAGGACTGGAACTCGCAGATTCCCACTGATCAAACGCTGAGCAAACGAGCAAACGCGCGGCGAGTCGGAAGTGGTGCATCCTTTGGTCGCTCGATTGATCCCAACACGGCCATTGCCCAAGCAGGATTGCCATCAAGACTTGTGAGATGCCTCCAAAAGTGCTTCGCGCCTGCGAGGCTTTGCTTGACTCCTGGATTTCCCGGAAGATTTCTTCCTCAAATTCTTAACCCGGAGACGCTGCACCACAAAACCAAATTGCACCTTGCTGCCGCCATGATTTGTTGTCGTCGTTAACAAGAGGTAGGCTCGATGAGAAGTTGATCTTGGCCCAGCCTCAAAAGCAGCAAAAATGATGGGCTCAGAACGAGGTTGTTCTTTTTCTGGGTCAAGCCACCATGCTGTACTTTTGCTAAAGCGGGTGACCGAGCTGACCCATCTTTTGACCAAGCAAATCACTTGGATCCCTCCAACTGGTTGACTCACATTTCCATAATCCAACTGCTTTGCACGGTTTTGGCTAAAGCGGGTTGGTTGCTACCCACCTTTCGAAATAAATCTGCAAAATGTACTATGATTCCAAAAGCTGAATCAAGAATTAGACCCCTAAGTAAAGGACCTTTACCATGGCTTTCGCTTGCTATACCCCCGATCGGTGAGCGCTATAAAATAGGCAGAAAGATTCCCGTGGATCCTGAATTGACTCATGTCCCGACCTTTTCTGGGTCAGTGGCTCCTTTCACTTTGGACACATGGATCTGCCGATTCTTCTAAGTTGGACCCCCCCAAAAAAACAACAACAAATGAGTGGTTCTCCCTTCTGGTTTCCCTTGAAGAAGAAAAAAAACGACCACCAAAAACCGGGTCTCTTTCTGCCCGCCTGTCTCTTTCTCTCGAGGCGCCAGCCTGAAAGGAAGCGTCAAGCGCCTTTCGGCGATTCTGTTCTGGCTGAAGGGGTCATGAACTAGGTCCTCCAGTAGAGAGGTTGGAACAAGGGTACCAATTTCTTTCTGTAGTCTATTTTAGTAGGGGAAGCCTCCCAACCAACAAAAGGGGTGAGAAAGGGCACCTAGCTGGGGGACCTAGTCAAGGTAAAACCATCGGATGGGTAGCTCCTCTTTGTTTTTTGCGGTACTGTGGATGGTTATCGAAATCCCTCAAATGGCACCAGGGAATCGAATCATTCCAGGGTTTCTTAGGTGGCGCAGGAATCCGTACACAGCAAAAAGACCCCCCAAAATGTGGGTTTTCCTTTTGGCTTTCCTTTAAAAGACACCCAAAAGGGGTACCACCCCAAAAAAAACACGGTGCTATGCATTTTAACTGGGGGACAGTTGGCGGACATCCTTTAGGAAACTTTGTGTTGGGATTTGAGGGGTTCCAGTATTCCCTTGCTTTGCTGTTTCCATTGGTGCTTTTGCCTAGTGGCTGCTGGGCTCAGCAACGGCCCTAGACATTGTTGGCCCGGTGAATACTTATGAGCCTCTGTCAGGAGTGAGGGCCTTCCAAAAGCCACTCGTGCAGCTGACTGCGGAAATGTATCTTTCTCCAGCTCGATCAACCCCTCAGATGCAAATCATGTTCACCCGGTTTGGGGACCCCTTGTATATGCGACAGATCCACGTGTCGCCTTTGAAACGGGTCCCAGGGCAAAAAAATAACGACCAAGCGATCCATTCGGGCACCCGAAACAGCCAAACGCACACGCACCCAAACAACACCTTCCTGGCAACCTCGCTTTTTGCCAGCCAAACAAGTTGCGTCGATCAACAAATCCATTCCGGTGCCATCCAACCGGCCCCCGCCCCCCCGCTCGGCCCTTGAGCCAAAGGGCTGATCTCTGGAAGCTGCGGGAGGAACGGCCACCTCCTGAAAATGAACAAAGCGAGCTGAAGCGTCGGAGATGCGGACAGGAACACTCCGAAATCCGTCTTCCTTTCGGAAGCTGCTAACTGCTATTGGAGGATCCGTAAAGGAGAGCCTTGGTCGCTCTTTTTGGCTTCCTGACTTCATGGTTTCTTGCTGGGTCCCTTCAAAGTCATCCCCGCAAGGGTATTCAGCTTGGCATATTCCCGCTGTTTGCGACGGTTTTCTTTAGGTTGCTGTTTGGATGCCTTTGTTTCCCAGTTAAGACGTGAAGGGGTCCCGCTCCGTGTGACAAACAGCCTGATGCAACGGACTACCTCATTCTCAGGACGCCATGCAAATGTTGAAGATCCGTTCTTTTTCTGGGCATATCCTGAAAAGCCTCTTTCAATGCTTGCTTTCCTTCTGGTTCCCTTTGTAGCCATCCAAAAGGAGTTTTTACCTGCTGTGTTAGCGGAGCGCAAACTTCCCAAACCCCGTGCCCGGATTTCTCGTATCGACCCTTGTTCTTGTGTTCCTTGGGTCGGAATCCTAAAGCCGCGAGTGGGGCCATGATTTGTCCTAGATCCAACTGAATGCCTTGCGAGTGGGAAAGGGCAATCTGCAGGGAAAAGTGCCCAGCAGGCAATTGCCCCATACCACCTAAAGTAAATTGCTGATGGGTTATAAGTTATTCTCATACTCTTAGCTGAAGTCATATGCTATCATATGTGGCTTTCCCTGCAGGAATCGACAAATGGTTGAGTTCCCTTGCAGGACATTTGTCTTAGAGAGAGGGAGGCAGAGAAAGGTAAACAAACGGATAAAGAAACAAGAGAGAGAGAGAGAGAGAGAGAGAGAGAGAGAAAAGAAAAAAGAGAGACAGAGAGAGAGAGAGAGAGAGTCCGCCATGTGCAGCACAACAAGCTACTAGATTTGACCAAACCTCAGTTTTTGGACTCCGAGAACGTGCGAGCACCAAAAACCTTGAGGGTCCTTTACCCTAAATGTCCTCCGCTGCGAGGGGCTTCATTTTCATGCTAGGAGGGACTTAAGCACTAACCCAAACCCCCAGTGACCATTGGAAAAAAAGGGAGCGCTCGGTTTTTGGTTTTTGCTTCTTTTTTTTTTAGTTGAGTCGTAATCAAAACCTGTGTAAAGAGTCAAAACGGCGGATATCCGGGATCCGCACCGGTTGATGGCTGGGACTATCCCTTACTAACCTTAATCTACCCGGGTTTCATCCAGTTGCTTGAGTCCCCCCCCCAAAAAAAAAGAAAAAGAAAAATAATGACTACTGTAGGTTCTCTTCAACACCAACAAAGGAACAAACGACACATTCTTACGCAAATGGAACCTTGTCAAGTCCAATCCTTGCTTGCCCAAAGGGCATATTTTTTGGTGGGTTAAATGGAAATCCAACCACTAAGCCAATTAAAAAGTTAAAAAGCCAGGGAGGCAAAGCAATTTGGAGAGTGGCGTTTCGGCGCTCCGGCACCATCTCCGCGGGCGGAGGGTCCTCGCGCGAAGATGAAAACAAGAGATGGACATGGGTTGGTATGGTTGGTCAAAAAAGTGGTTTGAGCCGCCGAAATCCGTGGCTTCCGTGTGGCTCCGTGAAAAAAAAAACACCAAAGCAGCAGGACCCTTCACCAAAAAACGGTTGAGACGGCGTCCAGGACGAGTTCCGTTGACTCAAAACATTACTAACAACGGTTGAAACGGTGAACTACAAACGGTTGAGGGGGCCCCTCACTTGGAGAAATATGGTGGAGACGCTTCCGTTCTTCTCCGGCCTTCCAGGGCATGAACTAGCTGATCCCCAGGATCAACAACTAGGTCCTCCAGTAGAGAGGTTAGAACAAGGGTGCCAACTTTTTCCGTAGTTTAGTTTAGTAAAAGAGCCCGCCCAACCAAAAACGGGGTGAGAAAGGGCACTACTGGGGGACCTAGACAAGGATCGGACGGGGAGTCATCCCGAGGCCAGACACCCCACCCAAATGTCCCAAAGAAGCTGATTGCTGGGTTCAGGGGGGGGTCTTTTTGCCACCTTTTGTGAGAAAATTGGCGTAGGGAAAAGGAATCCTTGATTCACTTCCATCATTTTTTCACCAAAGGTGGCAAAAAGACCACCCTGCTTGGTTCAGGGCTTTCAAAGAAGAACGCGGAAACGTTCGGCCCGGAGTTTCTTCATCTCGACACACCAAGTTGTTTGTTTCTTTTTAGTGGATAAAGGCCGACTCTCCCCTCATCACACACACAGGCACCGTCCGGCAAAGCCATCTGGGATTTGGTCGCAAACAGCACAAGATCCAAGAAGGGTGTCAATGAGGTCTCGTGCATACTATCCCAAGGAGCATCCCAGAAAGCTGCCATGGTCAAACTACATCTACATCTGATGGACCATGCCAATCAATGTGTCTAGCGTTTACTTCTGTCAATTGAGGTTGATGCCCTTGATTTTGAGACACACCCGTATGGTACTAGTATTGGCAGTAGTAGTACTCGTAGTAGCAGTAATTCATGGTCTTGATTCGGGGTATGATTCCCGGGGGTCCCACTTCCACCCTCTTCAAATCTTGTATACAGGCTACAAACATGAGAAAAAACAAACCCGTACGAACTTCGTCTACTTTCGGCATGAAACTTGACTCAACCGGCCCAAACTGAAGACTGTGGGACTCCTGCGACGAGTAAATAAAACTAAAGGTTCATTCCCAAAACTATAACCCCGCCCCAAAAAAACTGTGTATATATATAATAACAATAATAGAAAAATAAACAAACAAAAAAAGCAAACAAGCGTGTAAAGGAACGTCAAGGTTCATGATTCTCAAAACTACAAACCCCCAACAATGGCTAATGTGACTTCTCAAACTTCTACCGGCAAAAAACCCTCAAGAAAAGTTGGTGTCCTTTCATGTCCTTTAAAAATGCCATCCAAAAGGGTCAAGACCCAAAGATCATCGCTCCGGATTTCTCTGAAGCCAGGGAAGGTCTGCTTGCGATCGAAGCGGAATGGGTCCGTCATTCAAAAAAAAGGAGAGACAAACCCGACTGGCTCATGACCCCGTCTCTGTTCTAGGGGACACTCCCAACCATTCTAAACCCAGGGATCCTTCTTTCCGGAAAACCATCAGAACCCCAGGGGAAGCAGCTGGTTTTTGAAAAGAACGTTGAAAAGAATGGGGAATGAACCCCTAGATCTGTGCGCACTTGCAGTGCACAAAAAAAGAGGGGCGAACACAGTTCTCTCTTTCTACGCGCACCAAAAACACGGTTTCACCGTATTCCTGCGCAACCGGAAGCCTTTTTGACATCAATGGCCAGCTCCGAACATGGAACCGTTGCCATGCGAGGTCATTTTTGGCAAATAGACCTGTGAGGTGAAGCAATACGTTGTGACGAATTCCATGTGACAAACAACCTACCGCCCTGGTTTGTGGCAGTTTGTGGCCAATTGAACTCGGGTCTTCGTTTGCATCAGACAAAGAGGCACATAATTAAAGCTGAGTGAATATGAGGCGAAGGCAAAGAAACTCTTGAAGTCCCCCAAACGTTCATTGAACTAACCTGGAAGCCCCATGCTTCAGCCAGCCGCGCGAGCTCAGAGTTGCTGAATCGAAAACGATCCGATGGCACCGAGAATCAATCGCCTTCATCTTGGAATCCCGCTGCTCTTCCAGGTTCGCGTCGTGGCCATTGCAGCAGCCGGACACTGTACCCATGCCTCCGGCGCGGATGGGAAGAAACAGGTCCAATGGCCTGGGGGGGGTAGGGGGGGCAGGGGGGGTAGGGGGGCCAGGGTAGGGGGGGCAGGGTAGGGGGGGCAGGGGGAGGGGGGGGGGCAGGAGGAGTAGGGGGGCTTGAAGTCGACCCTACCCTGACTCCGGATGGATCACAGGGTTCCGCTGAGGACCTAGGTCGGCCTTTGAGCACAGGCCTTTGAGCACTCGATGGAGCAAAGTATGCATCTTCTTCCGCGCAACACCGAAATATCCTGCAAGCAAACCACAGAACCCGTCCTGGGTGAGCTTGGAATACCCAGCTGAGCTCGTTGTAAATTAGGCTCACACAAAAACATTCCTCTCTCTCTCTCTCTCTATATATATATGTATAAATATATGTATAAATATACATATGTTATATTTTCATATGTTATTAGTATATATATATATTTATATATGTATATTATACATGTACACCGCGTACCAGCTGACCGCACAGGGAGTACGCCTTCAGAAGCGGCCCACTGGCCCAGAGCTTGAGCAGGCGATCAAGCTCGTTCAAGCCCAAACACAAGAATTCGGGGGTTGCTCAACAGCTCCGAATGAATAGGACCAGTCCGGAAACCCCTTAATTAAAAAAAAAAAAAAAACGCTATGTCCGCCACAAAGAAGAAAAAAAGGAGAAAACAAACTTCCCGTGGTGAAAACTGGGGGCCCTGAAGGGAGTAGCGATCACAAATCCACGAATATAAAGTTCAGCTAAGCTAGTAATTTTCCCCGACAAACGCCACAGGTAAAGGGAGGTTCCCTTGGTTACCACACCTTGCTACACAGCTCACTTCTTGAGTGGATGGGCCAGCAAAAAGTCCAATGTTTGTTGGTGTTTATTTAATTTTTGTAGAAATACAACTAAAATGTTGAGTCTTCCCAAAAAGTATGAAGTCCAGGAACTCAAGAAGTGAGTACGACATGGACTCACGACCCAAGGCTTCCGGCGCCTTCCAACAGCAACGCTTCGAGTCGCGAGCAACCGGGCCTGCGGCAAGCGGCAAGGGCGGCACCTCGATCGCGGGCACAAGCCTTCTCTTGGCTGACGTTGGAAGGGGAGCAAAAATTGAAATTTTAGCAGTTAAGTGGGGATTTCCCACTAGACCACAATAAGCAAAAATGCAAAATGTTTGCCAACAACAACCATGGACTAGTGACTGGTTCGTTCCCCTGGGTCCATCTTGAGACAGGCAGAAAGAGGGAACAATGCTTCAACGGAAATTCGCAGACTTTACATTCGGTGACCTTTAAATAGTTTCCGTGTTCAAGGCCGAGCGAACGACATGTTGAAGCATTCGCCCAATCCAAATTTTCGGAGAGCAATTGGCACAAAGCTGGGCCCCTGCAAGCCTCAAAGGGTCTATTGGTCCCCAAACGATTCTGGTTCCACTGCAAGATCGGCCATTCATCTCACATCCTCCCAGCGATGCAGGAAAACGGATATTCAGCGTTCAAAGGTGGAACTGGCTGACGAAAACGGAGACAAATGCCACGGAAAATCAGCTGCGATGTGTAAAGACTGCGCCTTTTGGCAGTACCCTGAAACCTGCTGTCGCTTTTCCTCTTTATCATTTGGTAATATGTTTGTCTCCTCAAAGGTTCGCAAAGTGCGCTGTCAGTGTCCTTGTTAACCTGTCCCCCCTGAAAATCAAGCGCGAGATGGCCATTGAATTCTTGCAACACGCGTGAAATTGCCAGGCAAAGGGTATTCCCCAGCCCTTCTCTCTCGGAAGTCGGTCCCTGGGATCTTCAGGTCGCCTTCAATGCGCGAAAAATGACTGAAGTAAGGGGAACATCCTTTTGAGATTTGAGAAACAGGACAGTTGAAACCCAGTAAAAGGAGCCTCGTATTGACAGTATTGCACCTCTTGGAGCGCCAACTGCCCAAAAAAAGTCCGAAGTTCAAGCACTGGTCATGGTGTGGCTTGTGAGAGGGTACCCTTTTTTGAGGTTTAAACGAAAGCATTCAGGGTGACCTGACAAAAGACACCCTCATGTCAGTCCTGAATGCACACAGCAGCCAGGGCCCCCACGTCGCGCGCGAGGCGCCAGTTTTGGCGAGGCAAGCGATGTGCTCTCCGAGCCAAAGGCAAGGCGTTGAGGCAGCCGACGGGGCTGCAAAGTGGTCCTTTTTGAACACCCTGCCGCATCTTTAACGACACAGCCATAATCAAAACCCATGGAAATTGTCTAGAACCATGTAAGGAATTGAAAAGTCGGAACCCATTGATGGCTGGGATTGTCCACTACCCTCCAATCACACGGGTTTTGATTGTGACTCACATGGGTTCGGTGGCGTTCCTTTGGTTTCCCTTCAAACCATTCCGAAACGGGTACCCTCGCCTCAAAAAGGACAGGCAGCAAATGGGCGGCCGCTCCTCAACCAAGTTGAGGACATTCGCCGCAGTTTGATTTGGCTATGGGTCAGAAATGCGAACCAAAAACGGAACCCCGGTAAATGGAACCAAAGACTAAAGCCTGCGGTCCCTGGTGGTTTTATTTTGACCCATACCCATTTCAGGCGACAAGGAAAGGGGGTCAAAACCACCACTGACCGCATGTCAGACCTCGTTGAACTGTTTGAAGCCATCCAGAAACAGCCTACATGAGCCGACAACAAAGCCGCCCTACAAGGGTGGTTGATAGGCGGACATCTTGCCAACTAAAAGGGCAACTCTAAAATAGGTCGAGCCTGCGATGCAGAATTCTTCAGGATCCATTTGTTAGATGTGCATGTTGTACAGCAAGCTTCGCAATCGAAGAACGTCAATGCTGCCAGCCCGGCATGTTTCCCGTCGCGCAGGGCTTTTGCAACTCACTTCACCTTGTTTGCCAGTCTTTCCTTCTCCTCCCGCTCCTTGCCCGATGTGAATTCCATGTCCGTCAAGATTAACACAATATCACAAAGCACGGGACCCCGCGGGACAGGAATCCTCACACTGATCAAACACCGAACTCAAGGGTTTATAACCATTCTCACACACGCACGCACACACAGAGCTGCACATGTGGGAGCACCGAAACCCATTTTCCTCCAAACAGTGGACTTGATAGTTTCTAGGAATGAACTCACAAAACTTAAGACATCAGCGCATTCAAAGCAGTCCTCCTTCAAGTGCTTTTCCTTCCTGCTCGCCTCATCGATCATGTGGCCGATGCCTAAGCCAAGGTACGAGAATCTCTGACCCAAACTGGGGAGGGGGACCGAGCGGGGGCTACTAAGTTCACAAAGGGGCGTCTGACAACTATGTTGGTCTCTTATCAAACACAATCAGCAAACATAAGAACAAACAAACAAGCAAGCAAGCAAACAAACAAACAAACACACACAAAGATACAGAAAGATACAGAAAGAAAGAAAGAAAGAAAGAAAGAAAGAAAGAAAGAAAGAAAGAAAGAAAGAAATCAAGACAGAAAGAAAGAAGCAAAGAAAGGAAGTAAAGAAAACGAAAAGCAATAAAGAAAGAAAGACAGAAAGAAAGAAAGAAAGAAAGAAAGAAAGAAAGAGAAAGGCACAGCAAGACAGAAAGAAATATCCAAAGAAAAAAGAAACAAACACACGCACACACAAAAACAGACAAACCAACCAACCAACCAACCAACCAACCAACCAACCAAACAAACAAACAAACAAACAAAACAAACAAAACAAAACAAACAATCACACACACAAAAAACACAAACAAACAATGTAACAAACAAACAAACAAACAAACTACCTAACTAACAAAGGAAGGAAAGAAGGAAGGAAGGAAGGAACGAACGAACCAAACAAACAAACAAACAAACAAACAAACAAACAAGCAATTATGGAGTTCTTAAGGGGGGGGGTGTAAGGGGGGGGGGGGTAAATTTGAGTAAATGGCGTGGACTAGGGAGCCCTAGGGAGGCCTAGGGTTCAAATACTGAATCCGGCTCAGCCCTCATCCGGCTTAGCCGCTTGCCCGCCCAAAGCTCTTCGCCAAACACTCAAACGCACACACAAACACAAACACACACAGAGTCACACACACACACACACACTAACACGAACGCGCACGCAAACGAGGGAGCCCTAGGGAGCCCTAGGGAGCCCTAGGGAAGCTTAGGGAAGCTTAGGGAATAGGGTTTTGAGGGGTTCCGAAAAACTTCGGTAAACCCTGTACTTGGGGCTCACTTTGGGGAACTCACTTTGAGGGTTTCCGAAAAGCCCTGGGGCCAACGACCTTAAATCTTGGAAGGCTGGGGAGCTTAAGGGAGGCTAAGAATCCTTTAGGGGCCTTTAGGGGTCCTTGGGGAGGGAGCACTAGGGTTTGCTAAGGAGCTCCAGGAAGTGCTAGGGAGCCTTGGGGCTTTCAAATTACCCCCCCCCCTTACACCCCCCCCCTTAAGAACTCCATAAAGCAAGCAAACAAACAAACGCACACACGCAACCAAACAAAACAAAACAAAACAAAACAAACAAACAAACAGACAAACAAACAAGCAAGCAAGGAAGCAAACAAACAAACAAAACAAACAAACAATCGATCGATCGAACGAACAAACAAACAAACAAACACACAAACAAACAAAGCAAAACAAATAAACAAGCAAACAAGCAAACAAGCAAAAAAAAACGAACGAACGAACAAACAAACAAACAAACAAACACGCACACAAACAAACAAAACAAACAAACAAAAAAGCAATCAAGCAGGCAAACAAACAAACAAACAAACAAAGAAACATGCACACAAACAAAGAATCGATCGATCGAACGAACGAACAAACAAACAAACAAACAAGCAAGCAAGCAAGCAAAAAGCAAACAAACAAACAAACAAACAAACAAACAAACAAACAAACAAGCAACCAAGCAGGAAAACAAACAAACAAACAAACAAACAAACAAACAAACAAACAAACAAAACAAGCAAGCAAGCAAGCAAGCAAGCAAACAAACAAACAAGCAACCAAGCAGGAAAACAAACAAACAAACAAACAAACAAAACAAGCAAGCAAGCAAGCAAGCAAGCAAACAAACAAACAAACAAGCACACAAACAACCAAGCAAGCAAGCAAGCAAAAAAACAAACAAACAAACAAACAAACAAGCAGGAAAACAAACAAACAAACAAACAAACAAACAAACAATCAAACACACAAACACAGAAACAAACAATCGATCGAACGAACGAACGAACGAACAAACGAACAAACAACACACACACACACACCCAAACTAAGAAAAAAACAAACACGCACACGCACGCCCGCAAGCACGCGCACGCGCCCCCAGCCTTTGGCAGTGACATCACAGATCCGCGCCTGGCCCAGTCACGTGCCAGAACGTGGATCCCCACCAACCAGGTCAAAGTAGAGATGTCTTCATTCACTGAAGCTTGCCAAAAGTGAACAAACATCATTATGTGTGCGTGCCATACTACATCAGGAACGGCGTGATTTGTTTCCTGCGAGCGGGACCCTTTTGCAAGTCATGTCTGGGCTCTCCTGCTTCTAGACAGACCGCTGTGCCCCCCGCGCTGACATAGATGGTGCGGCGGACATGTGATACGTGCATCGTTAAAACTTTTTCCTTTAATTTTTTGAGCTGACCCGAGGGTTTGAACGACTGTCACCAAAAATCCGCTGGCCCTGATCAGCGGCTTTGGGTTGACGGTGGCCTCCCGTTGACTCCGGAAATCAAACAATCAGGGATTCCAATTCCCGCCACATCCCATAGGTTCAACATCTCACTTGAGGCGTTGGCCCAAACAGGGGCTTGCTCGTTCCTCAAGATGATCCTAACAGAAATGGACAACAAGCTGCAAATGAGCAAGGGGAAATTTAGCTGACCAGCAATTCAAATGAGCAGGTCCCCCACCCTTTTCTCGCAATTCCCGGGAGTGGCCCATCTCAAAGACCTCCCCCATTGACCTCATGAGCAACAATGAGGCTGACA